ACGTTGGTTGGGCGGTCCTGGTTAATTTGAAAGACAATTTGGGCTCAAACTCTTGCGACAATGTTGGATCCGACATAGCAAGTTGGCCTGGCGGTAAAAGAAGGAAAGTGATGCTCGGGAGTGTGGACAAAGGCGTCCGGCTGTGAAATCGATGTCTTCCGCGTATTCCCCATTGATGATGATGGATGACATGAGAAGTCTGTGCCCTGTGGATTCGACTTCACTTAACAGTTCCTGACCCGTCCTGCTCTGTGACTTTGGCCTTTTTGGGTTTTTTTTTTTTTTTTTTTTTTTTTTTTTTTTTAATTTTAGACATCTGCATTATAAAAGGCAGATTTTATCAGAGACTATTTGTGGACTGGGGTAAATTTTCTGCTGGAAAAAATCAAGTTTAGAATTTTAATGTTCTTCATAACTGGGCAGTTAGACATAGTTGGGGACATATAGTAAAACTGTCTCCAATACCATGTCTGGAAAATGCCTTTATTTGGTAATTAAAATCAAGTGGATCTGAAATTATAGCTCTTAAGTTCAGTCTACCGTTTTTCTCTGAATCTTGATTAAAAGATGCACATGTAAGATCATTTAATTAAGATGGTGATTTCAATGGAAGGATGGCATGTAAAATTAACAAAGTTGTTTAAAATGTGTTATCATTAAATGAATTTTTAGGAATTGGCTTCCTTTTCTTAGCAGTTCATTGTGACCTGACATTAACACCGTCACTATTCACTTTAGCATTCACAACTAAACCAGGGTTAGTATGTGTTTTGATTTGTGTGCAGTGGCATTCAAAACTAGAACAGGATAATTTGTGTTTTGACTTTGGTGCAATCTAAAGTGTCAGCAAATTAAGGTAATAGTGTATTGTAAGAAATCCTTGGAGTCTCTTAGATATGTTCTAGATATTATTGCCTATGAATAAATGATAACATTGTTCTACTATGGCAAGGGCAAAGAAGTTTAAGCATTAACTTTTATTTGGCTAATTAGAACAAACTTTAGGTCTCTTGGACTGGAATTCAATAGCTTTGTGCCTGTGAAACTGCTTAATGGAGATAGCTTATTTAAGACACTTAGATATGTGGTTTTTAAGCTAGGATGTGTTCGAGACGCATTTTGAACTTGGTGTCTACTTATTTCCATGGAATATCTCCAAATTCATGGACTTGTAGCTGAATTTATGTCTTCAAGGTCCATCCCTTTTGAATTTTAAAAGTTTAAGGTCAGACAAAGTGATACTTACCATTTGCTCCCCAAAATATTTAGAGTTAAAAACTTGCCTAGTAAGTTTATATAGGAGTCTTGGAATTTGAATGTTGACAGGTGTTTCAAGGAGCCATTTATAGTTTTTGTTGAATTGCTGGGTGTGGATATTAACTTGTTGAAATTAGGCTTACATTTTTTTTGTACTGCAAAGATTTTAATAGTAAACCTCAATTTTAAAATGTAGTGTATGCCACTGATTTTATTAACCTTTCAAACTTGATATTTATGCACAGTGGTACTTAGGTTTAAAGGAACTTTATTTGCACATTAGGTATAATGATTAATTTGGCACATTTTAAAAGTTATTTTGTAAATATTGTTTGTGAAAGTGCTACATACAAGTTTCCTTAGTACTAAGTTGAGTTTTTTCCCAGTAATATTGGCAATCCCAATATTCCTAATTATTCCTTATATTGTTTACTTCTCTATATTATTATTGTTTCTGTGATATAAGTATGTAGGGTAGTTTTTTGAAGTGGCTGTTCACATAATAAAATTCCAAAGTTGATACTTTTTTTTTTGTTTTGTGTGTGTTTGAAATGAATTTTAATATTCTACTGTTGTAAGCATGTTGAATAAGAATGACATTGATCTTATTTCAGTTTTAGGGATGCTATAGTATTTCCTTAATTACATCATAGTTAACACTTGTTTCTGTATTTGTAATACGAGGAATTTGTATCCAAATGGTAGCCATTGACTTGGATTTATTGCATAATAATTGATAGTTTTATAGTTTTGATATTTTTATTTACTATACCATTTTGAATTGTTGCTTTGTTTGGCTTAGTATTATGTTTTGAAAGGGTGGAGAATGGCAAGGGAGTTGGACGTAAGTCTGAACTACATGTTTGGGTCATCATTAGGTGAAGTGATATAAGGTCTTTAAAAATAGTTGATTTTCAAATTGATGTTTTACTTATAAAAGAGATTTTTTTAAAAGTACATGTACAACTGTATATCAGCAAGTGATTAGCCTGGACTTTACTTAATGATAGAATTTAGTGAGCTTTGGTATATTTTATACATTCAAGTAAGCACCCATAATTGTGATGCATTCCATTTTTTTACTCTGATAGGTAATTCTGAAATGGATTTCAGGCATTGAGATCAATTACAGAGTTCAGAGATTAATTATATTTCATTTTCTTTCCACAGTTAAGTTGCTTTTACAGAATTATCAGGTCTCCAAGAAATAAAAGGAAAAGGTAAGGCACCAGAGTTGAAGGCTTTGCACAGAAATGTGACAAGATCAGATAGATTAGTGCATCTTTGTACTCATTGCTTCTGTTTTTTACGTGGCAGCTGAATATCCTGAGCAGAAATTGTATACTGGCTTTCTGAATATGTAAACTTTATTGTGGTTAGTAACAGACAGGTCAGTAGGAGACACATTTCTAAACAGTCTGAAAGTAGTTTGGTCTTGTTGTGAAACAGCATTTGGCAGACTTACAAAGGAAGAGTTGATATTTTTTGATGTTCCTATTGAATAGGATAGGTGATGTGAAATGTTACTTTAAGGCAGTTGGTTTATTTGTATGCTTAGATAGGAGAAAGAATTTTTGTTTTCTTTAAGAATTAAATAAGATCAGTTTTTTTGTGAACTAGTATCTTGTTTCCACTTATTAGTGTTGAAGGAAGCAGGAGCCAGGTAATTGTTAAGCTAGTTTGTGCTAAGGTACTGCAAAAATAAGACTTGCTATTATGTGTACCTTTTTGTCTGCAGGTCATTATTGCTGTGGTTTGAGCTCATTACTGGGGCTTCCTTTTATTGCGGGGCCTGGGGAAATCCCTCACTTCTTCAAGGGATTGACTATTCCTGATGGTGGAGTGCATATAATTGGAGGGAAAGTTGGGGAGGCTTTTATTATTTTTGCAACAGATGAAGATGCGAGACGTGCCATAAGTCGTTCAGGAGGGTTTATCAAGGATTCATCTGTAGAGCTTTTTCTTAGTAGCAAGGCAGAAATGCAGAAGACCATAGAAATGAAAAGAACTGCTCGTGGAGGAAGAGGGCGACTGGGATCAGGGGCATCAGGGGCTAGCAGCCTGTACCATTTTATTGATGCTATGAAGGAAGAGGAGAGTTATTCTGGATATGGCTCTTCAATTAATCAAGATGCTGGGTTTCATACTAATGGTACAGGACTTGATATAAGGCCAAGAAAGACCAGGCCATTGAAGGCTGAGAACCCTTACTTGTTTCTACGAGGTTTGCCTTACTTAGTAAATGAAGATGATGTACGTGTCTTTTTTTCTGGTTTGTGTGTGGATGGAGTAATTTTCTTAAAACATCATGATGGCCGAAATAATGGTGATGCTGTAGTAAAATTTGCATCATGTATTGATGCTTCAGGAGGTCTTAAATGCCATAGAAGTTTCATGGGTTCAAGATTTATAGAAGTAATGCAGGGCTCAGAACAACAGTGGATTGAATTTGGTGGTAATGCAGCTAAGGGTGGTGATGTTCCTTGTATGAGAGCTGAAGAACATTCTCCGTCAAGAGGCATGAATGATAGATATTTTCGAAAACGGACTCATTCAAAATCTCCTAGAAGAACACGTTCTCGCTCTCCTCTTGGATTTTATCTTCACTTAAAAAATCTGTCCTTAAGCATTGACAAAAGAGATTTAAGAAATTTCTTTAAAGATACTGATTTGACTAATGAACAGATTAAGTTTTTATATAAAGATGAAAGAAGAACACGGTATGCCTTTGTGATGTTCAAGAATCTGAAAGACTATAATACTGCCCTGGGTTTGCATAAGACTGTTTTACAATATCGTCCAGTTTTTATTGATCCAATTTCTAGAAAGCAAATGGTGAAATTCATTGAATGTTATGAAAAGAAGAGACCAGGGTCGGTAGAGAAAGGAAGGCCTGGACGTGTTTCACAAAAGTTCTTTGAAGAAGGCTACTCTGGTCAGAAGCTGTACATATATATAAGAAACTTTCCATTTGATGTTACAAAAGTTGAAGTGCAGAAGTTCTTTGTAGACTTTTCCCTTGTTGAGAATGACATTTATTTGCTTTATGATGACAAGGGAGTTGGTTTGGGAGAAGCACTGGTGAGATTTAAATCAGAAGAACAGGCCATGAAAGCTGAACGTTTAAACCGCAGAAGATTCTTAGGGACAGAGGTGTTGTTAAGACTTATATCTGAGGTACAAATGCAGGAGTTTGGCGTAAATTTTTCCTTTATGTGCAATGAGAAAACACAAGCCTGTTCCCAGTCACACAATAGAGATGACCATTCCCGTCTGTTTGACCTAAAAGACTCACCATTATGTTCACTGGGCCGGTCTGAAAGCGTTGGTTACCAGCCAGAAGACTTAAGGCATCCCCACAGGTATTTCCAACAGTCTGACAAGCGCCCTCTAGAAGACTTCCGACACTCTCCTGAGGACTTCCGACACTCCCCAGAAGACTACAGACACCCCCAGGAGGAACACATCAGGTGCTCAAGGGAGGAAGCCTGGAGACGGCCTCTAGAGGATTGGAGATGGTCACCAGAAGATGACTTCAGGCACTCTCATGAGAAAGATTTTAGGCAGCTGCCAGAGGATGATTTCACATTCTCTTGGGAGGACTTCAGACGGCCACCTCAGGAGCACTTCAGGAGACCATCCCAGGAGCACTTTAGAAGGCCACCCCAAGAACATTTCCGGCTTTCCAGAGAGGAGTATTTCAGGCATATGGTAGATGAAGACTATAGGCACCCTTCTGATGAGGACTTCAGGACCCAAGAAGAAGATCTGAGATGTCCCACTGATGAGGACTTCAGGCAGGTCTCTGGGGAGGACCTCAGGGAAGTATCAGAGGACAGCCTTAGAGTTCCTGATAGTTTTAGATCTCCTGGTGAGGAATTTTGGACCTCACCTGATTTCAGAGATCACCATCCTTTTATGAACTTTGGTCACTTAGAAGGTGGCAAGTTTGATTTTGGAAAGCATAATATAGGATGTGTTCCTGAGGGAAGATTTATGCCTGATCTAAAATTAAATTGTAGTTCAGGTAGAATAACTCCTGTTAAGATCATGAATCTTCCATTTAAAGCTAATGCTAATGAAATTTTAGACTTTTTCCATGGTTATAAAGTCATACCTGACTCAGTTTCAATACAGTATAATGAGCAAGGGTTACCTATAGGAGAAGCCATTATTGCTATGATAAATTATAATGAAGCTATAGCTGCTATTAAAGAACTAAATGGTAGACCAGTTGGTCCCCGCAAAGTTAAGCTCATTTTGCTTTAGAGAGCCTTTCTAAGTCCTTAGTTTTCTTTCACAGTATTGATGCAGAAAAACATAGCTTTCTTAAAAGTTTAAATTATCTAATTAAACATTTTAATTTTAACTTGTGAATAAACAAACTGTGTTATGTAAATATGGATTTCCTTTGCTTACAAATGGACATTCCTTTTCCTCTCTAATTTAAAATTACATATGCTTTTTTTCTTTGATAGGGGAGAGGAAACAAATTTCCTGAATTCCTTAGTTTCATTGATGTTATGGATAAACCCCGGTCTTGTGAAATATGGAGTTATGTTTGGGGAAGGTAAATTTATTTTTGTTTTCACCATCTTTTACTCAGACTGTATAAGGAAATGATGGATGACTGACTGTTCAGGTTTGGCACTTTAATTGCTACCTGCCTGCAGAATTCCCTTTTGTTTGAGATATTGTGTGAAGGTCTCCTATTAATTTTAAATGGTTCAGAAAATGAACATACTGTAAATTTGAATTTTACTTATGTGAAAGGCTTAGGAACTTCCCAACATTTGTGTTCACAACTTTGAAAAGTTTTATAAAATAAAATTGCAACTGAAATACTTATTAACTTGTATTTGTATAACAGGAACAAAGACAGAATTGCAGCTGGGTATTATAAAATTTCTCAACAGTTCTATTAAAACTATATGGTAAGCAGAATCAAATAATGTGTAATAATAATGCACAGGTCTATGATTTCTTCAACATCATTTTATCCTAAGCACCAAGGGCCTGGAGCTTATCATAACTAGACTGCTAAGATTAACCCAAAATATTCAGAAGTTAGTAAAATAATTTGCTTAATGCTAAAGGGGAACTCTCTGGCTGGCAAGAATATGACAAAAGAGTATATAGTTTTTCTAGGAACAATTTACTGGTGACTCATTTGGTTTCCTTTTTTAGCTTCAAAACTTTGTATTTATTCACAGACTCACTACAAAATTTCTGAGTGTGAATTTTGACTTTGATACTCAATGTTTATATTTTGCTTATACTCAATTAGATTTTCCTTACGCATAATAATAGAAGTAGCTGACATGGACCGTAATTTATTAGACAGTAAGTCCTTTAATGTATGACCTCTATTATCTCTATTTCACAAATGAGAAAAGAAGTTTAGAGAGTGTAAGCAAATTGCCTGAAGTAATACTAAGTTATGGAACCAATTTCAACACCTGTAAGCAGACCTTTGATTATACCATGTCCATAAATATTTTTGCTGTGTCACTTTGTTATATGGTATTTTTAACTTTAGTAAGATTATGATAAAAATATTTTCACAAGCAAATATATTTTCTTGTTTTGTTTTTAAGGTTGCATTTAAAGTATGATTAAAAAGTATGATACTTAACCCTTGTTAGCTAAATTAAAGAGAAAAATGACTTAAGAATTTATAGTTTCTCAAAGTTCTTCATTTTATCTAATTTGATTTGTGATTTTTATAGTTTATATTGAAACAAAGTTTTACATACTTCTTCAGACATTTCCCACACTGAGTAGTTGTGAATAATTTTTTTTAATATGGTGTATCATTTAGCTACTGCAGAAGTAGAATACTTTCAGTATCTTGAATTAACATTCAGTGATTTAAAGAAATCAAAGAGAAGTGTGCATAATTTTTGTTTTAAATAGTTAATTAAATAGAATAAATTGATAAATTCTGTTAAAAAAAACCCACATTCTAAGTCTTAAAGCTAATAAGCTTTTACAGATAGAATGAAAAATTTGACTACTAAGCCAAGGACAATGATTACATAGATGGTTCATTTGATAAGATGTGTTAGACTGTAAATACTTTCCAGATCAATACATAGTGAAACAACTAAGATACAGCTTAAAATGAAAGATCATTGAGTATTTAATTGCTTGTCAAATTGGGCTGGGCTGGGAGTGGTGGATAAGAGACCAGCTGGGAAACACAGCACTATGTCTTGACTTGTATTAATTTATATTTTATGGATGAGTGCTTTGCATGTATGTGTGTGTACCATGTGTCTGTGGAGCTGAGAGGAGTACACCTAACTGCTGTGCCAACTGCTGTGCTGTCTCTTTTCCCATGCCTTGATTTTCAAGTTGAGCACTGTGGCCATTTTAGTTCAGTTATCAGTCTTAGTATACATATACTGGTGTGTTTGTATGAGGCTAGAGTTTGATGGTGTCTTGTTTAAACACTTTTCAAGTTTTCTGTGAGGCAGGTCTCTCACTGAACTTGTAGACTGACTGGCCAGCACCCTCACCCCATCTTCCTGTATGTGCCTCCTCAGCACTTTTGACTTTATAGTTGTGCTGCAAACACCTCACTGATTGAGCCATCTCACTCAGCCCCAGGTTTAATACTTTGTAAACTTTATTATAAAAATGTTTACTAAACAGTATGGGAGCTGTTTTGCACATCTCTTTCTAATACTGCCTTGAGTAACATGGTGAATTAACTTCAGTTGGCCATGGTAGTAGCTAACATTTACACCATGTCAGAGTATTTCCCTTGTTTGCCAAGCCTAACTATACATGTCAGTTTCAGACACATGAAAGGATAGTTCTACTGCTTCATGCTTTGGTCACCGAGCTTCAGTAATTCCATGGCCAGTTTTCTATCAATAGTAGGTACACTGGGAGAGTGTTGATTCTCTTTATAAAAATAGGAAAACATGTCTAGAAAGGAAAACTTAATCCTTTAAGATTTGTCAAACCATCCTGGAGATGAGAGAATATTGTTACAAATCAGTGGCTTTTGATTATATTAAGATTATCAACCCTTAATTTTTATTAGAGATTCCAAATGATGGGCTATTTACCATGTTGAGGCTTTTTTTTTTTTAAGTTGTGCTGGGAATTGAACCCAGGGCCTCATCATGCACAATAGGCTAGTGCTAACCCCTAGCCCAGTTTTCACATTCTTAAATGTAGTTATATCCTAACTGGTCTTGTAAGTAGTCATATAATGACCTTGTTTTTGCCTCATTGCCCACAAATAGTAAAATGTAGTCTAATATTCCTTTTATTTTTATATACATACATGTATATAATTTTTGTTGTTGTTGTTGTTTGAGACAGGGTTTCTCTGAGTAGCCCTGGCTGTCCTGGAACTTATTCTACTGACCAGGCTGCCGTGAAACTTTGAGAGATCCACTTGCCTCTGCCTCCGGAGAGCTAGGATTAAAGGTGTGCACCACCACTGCCAGTCTTATACAAGTAATCTTTTTTCCTTTCCTGTAGACCATGCTGGTCCCTGAACTTGGCTGAATCGAAGAATGACCTTGAACAACCAATCCCCTGCCTCTGCCTTCTAAAAGTGGGATAGCAGGCTTGGACCCCACACTGAGCTCTTTCTCTGAAGTAGGAACGGCAACTATAGAATCAGAACTGTTTGCTGTATTAGGCATTATTTGATAGATGAGGCAGTTGCTGCTTAAGAGAAGTTACTAGTACTGAGCAGCAACCGAAATACTGTAGCTATTTTCCCTCTCAGCTCCAACATCAAATTTGAATACTGACCAAGAATATACAAATAAAGTAATAATCTCCCTTCCTTAATTCCAGGGAATTAAGTACCAAAAGAATCTTAAAAGTATTCTCAGGGAGCAATACTTATTGTTTTGAATAATTTCGTTGAGATTTCTTTTAACCAAAAGAAAAAGAAATGTCAACCACAATGAAAGTTTGTGGATTTAGGAATAAAGTACATACATGTTTATTGATTGTGGTGGCCTGATAAGAGTGTGTTTAGTGGTTCATGGCATCCTATGATGAGGGAGGCACATTTCTAACAAATCACTTGCCTTCTGAGTATCAGTGACTTGCATAAGTAGAGTGAACAGTGCTTTAGAGTCAGAGCAGTTTGTTTTAAACCAGTTGTACACTTACAAAACCTGATGTCAGCATTCTATACCTTTTCTTCTTTTGCTGAAGAAACTAAATTTATACACCAAATGATGAAACATAATGTTATGATAAATGTAAAAGAAGCAATCTTTTTTACTTAAGGCATTATGGCATAGAATTAAATGACCTCTTATGGTATTCAAAACTCCAAGTTTTAGCCTAAAAGAAACTGAAAGGAATTATTCAATGTTTTGTTACCCCATTCCTTTTGCATCTTTAATAGGTGCATTAAATCTGAAATGCTTTAAAATACATAACCCTTTTTGTTGGTTTGTTTAATAAAACATATACAGAAAAATAAATTACCAAATAGGATGCTGAAAGACTGGCATGAGCCTGGCTGTGGTGGCACACACCTTTAAACCCAGCACTGAGGTGGCAGAGGTAGGAGGCTCTCTGTGAGTTTCAGGACAGCCTGGTCTACAGAGTGAGTGCCAAGACAGCCAGGGCCGTTACACAGAGAAACTCTGTCTTGAAAAAAACAATAACAAAAGACTGGTATGGAACATTTAAAAAAACTGTTTTTTTTTTTCTTTTGGTGTGCATAACTGCCTTTACCTCCGCCCCTGCCCTCTTTCATAGTAGTATTTCATTTTGAAGTTTGAGCTGTTGAGTGAGTATAAAGTGATCCTGGATTTCACTTAACATGAAAATGGAAATGTGAAGTTTTCTTAAAATTAGTTTTCATCTTCTGTCACATCTAACTCTTCATCATCTTCATCTTCTACTTGTTGGTCTTTTCTTGTTCGACTGGTGGCTATCTGTTAACAACCCATGAAAAAAAATAAAAACAAATGTTTTTACATGCTTGGCATCTTTTTACATATCCTTATAGGAAAGGGAATTTAGAACAACTATTTCAGAAAATGAGGAAGAACTATGGCCAGAGATTATGCATTGTCATGATCACATCGAAAGGGAAGCCTTTTTAGTTAGTACTAAGCAGTTCCAAAGGCAACAACTCAAATTCCTTTAGTTTTTTTTCTGCTCACCTGTCCAGTTCCAGATGTGCACTTAGCTGACACTGATCTCTGAAGAGGTGACTTTGAATTTGCTCTTACAATATCTAAACGAGATGGATAATCTGGTAGATACAGAGAATTTCGGAAAACCTATTGCAATGTAAAACAACATTATAAAGTAGATGCAAAATGAATATCTAGATAACCAACTTACATTCTTAAATTTGAGTTACTGTAAGCTTAAGAGGAAAAATTACAAATCTAGTCAAGTTGGAAAAGGGTAAAAAATTCTACTAGGATCATGCAAGTTGACAAAAGGTGTTCTGTTCAGTAATCATAAAATCATTTGATTGAGGCTACTGAAAACTAGTGTGGTACACATTTATCTTTGGTCCTTTTTGCTTTGCCTACATTCACTGCAGGAGTGTTATTGTGCACAGTTTACATTGGAGTCACCCTAACCCTAACATGGACACCATCATTAGAATCTGAACTTGTCAGTACTCTCAAATATTGTCAGTGTTTCTCGAGCCTTCCTCTCTTATACTTAACCCATATTTCTAGCAAAGATGGAGAGTCAAGACTTCCAAACTCTTCCAAATGTCATCCTAATTTTTTTTATTCTGTATTTTTCCTTCACTGTCAAAAACTACGAATTTACAAAGACATTTGGTTTCCATGGGTTCCCTTTAGAAAGTGGTTTTCAACCTTCTTAATGCTGTGGCTCTCTAATGCAGTTCCTCAGACTATGGTGATTCCCAACTACAAAATTGTTCTTGTTGCCACTTCATAACTGTAATTTTGCTACTGTTACAAATCATTGGTATCTGTGTTTTCCAATGATCTTAGGCAACCCTGTGACAGGGCTGTTTGTCCCTCAAAGGGGTTGCCATCCACAGGTTGAGAACCACTGCTCTAGAAAAAAGCACCTACTCATTCTTTTTTCCTTATTTTATTACTTCAATGTACATCTTAAAAAAAAAAAAAAAACTGATCAGTTACTTTACTTCAACCCCTCATTAGAATTGGACATTCATCCCGAAGCATTGCTCATCAGAATCCTTAAATCTTTATCCTCCCTCACCCCAACTCTTCCTTTTCCATGCCATCACAAGTTACTGCTAGCTTGCCTTTTCTACTGCTTCATCTGTTTACAACCAACTCATCCAGAAAATGTCCATCTCTTCTACTGCTAGCACCTTAAATACATTTTAAGGGTTTTGATCACTTAATATTTTTTTCTCTACAGTGTTTAATGTCTTATCAACTAATGAATGAATTTGCTGTATACTTCATATATTTTTTTATTATAGACTAACAGTGTCCAATAGCATAGAATGTGAGATTAAGGAAATGTTTGATGTCCAAAAAGGCTCTTGACTATGTGTGGCTGCTAATCACGTGGCATGGTTTGTGTGGGATTTTGACTTAATAAAAAAAAAAGATAGCCTACTGTATTGGGTGTGGACTCAATGAAAGGCTTTATACCTAGCAGTATGGGCATTATACTTAGTTTCTTTCCGAAGTACTTAACATACTGACTGTATTGCTGCAGACCAAATATTCTCAACTAAAAATCGTTTTTGTGGCTCTTTCTCTGAGGAAAATGTTGACTTCAGAATGATCTTCAGACGCCTCCTACCACTCAAACTCACAGAACTAACTTATGTGGGGAATGTCTGTTATACTGTGCCTCTTTATTGCTGCTTTATTAGCAGGACATCAAGTCAAATGTTATCTTTCTCCTATTCGGTAGCCAGCAGCTCCTATGATTCTCAAGGGTAATTGTTAATGTTACTAAGTTTGATCAGATGACTCAACTAGCCTTAAGTTTCTAATGAAGGGAACCCTGTTTTATTTCTTGTCATTCTTCCAAATAAATGGTGCTAATTAAATTCACTTTTGCCTAACGAATGCTAACACCAACGTAATTCCTATTTTGTGAAAGTAAAGACCGGAACTAAGGACTGTCCCTTTCATTCCTGTAAGCCCTTGGTTCTTAACCTTCCTAATACTGTGACCCTTTAACCATTCCTCATGTTGTGGTGACCCGGTGGTGGTGGTGCATGCCTTCACTCTCAGCACTTGGGAAGCAGAGACAGGTGAATTTGAGACTTGGTGGTCTACAAAACAAGTTCCAGGATAGCCAGGGCTGTATACAGAGAAACCCTGTCTCAAAAAATTATTTTGTTGCTACTTCATAACTGTAATTTTGGTGTTACAAATTGTAATGTAAATATCTGTGTTTTCTGATGGCATTAGGTGATCCCTGTGAAATGGTCATTCATCCCCAAAGGGGTCATGACCCACAGGTTGACAACCCACTGCTGTTGTAAGCTTTGCAGAATACAAAATGGAATCCAGGGATTCAATTTAGGATGTAAGAACTATATTTTAGGATAGTTGAAGAATAATTAAGTTAGCAGATTTTACATTGATGACATCCAGGTATAACAGATGGGTGGTTCAAGGTCACCTAGTATTGAGAGGGAATATAATTGTATTTGAACACTGTTTCTTCTCTAGCGAAGAAAAATAACATGAATTGACGGAACCAGATGCAGAGATTCACAACCAAGCACCAGGCTGAGCTTCAGGAATCCAGTCAAAGGAGGGAGGAGGGAATACATGAGCAAGGGAGGTCAAGATCACAAAGGGGAAATCTACAGAGATAGCTGACCAAGCTTGTGGGAACACATGAAAGCTGTGGAGCCTCTATGGGACTGAACTAGGCCCTCCATATGTAGGAGACAGTTGTGAAGCTTGGACTATCTGAGGGGCCAGGCAGCAGGACCAGGATCTATCCCTGGTACATGAACTAGCTTGTTTTGGAACACATTCCCTATGGTGGGATGCCATGCTCAGTCTTAATGCGGCAGGGGGGAGGGAGGGACAGACGACGGACAGACGGATGGACAAACACAAGTTTGGTCCTGCCTTAATTTGTGGCAGATTTTGTTGACTCCCCATGGGAGTTTTTCCTCTTTGGGAGAAGTGGATGGGGGAGGTGGGCTGCAGGGGGAGGTGAGAGGATGGGGGTGGGAAGGAGAACTGTGGTAGATTATAAAATGAAATTTAAAAAGAAAAAACAGAAAAATAACCCTTGAGATAAACTTAAAGACCAACCCTTTAACTGCCATTTGCAATGTCCAAGATCAAGAGCAAAATCAGGAAATACTCTCAAATGAAAGCAGAGAAATTATTTTTGAAGGAGAAATGGGCCAGAGAATACCATTCGTGTGAGGAACAAGATAGTTAGCTGCTGTGCTGCTGAAATAAATCTAGAAGTATGACTATGAAGAAAAACAAGTTACATCTCTCTGCATTTTTCTTGTTTCCAAGAAATTTAGGTTATGTACATATCATTATAATTGTACATATCATCTAGAGTAACGGATGTTAGATGATTTAATAGAGGTTGAGGGTTATGTATGAGGGTTATTCATTCCATGCTAAATGTTTAAAGTACATTGCTCTTCATTCACAATAGCCCAGGAACCTTTGTATTATCTATGCCACCATAAGGTTTTTGATAGGCATCTCAATCTCAAGCTCCTCTGGCTTTAAGACTGTGGAACCTTCCCTTCTTCCCCCGCCCTCAACACCACATTATGGCATTGGTTGCATTATAGAATTTTAATGGCTACATAGACTTTTTGCCTCTTTCATATCACTGGTAGATTGTAATTAGCTTTGACAATGTAGACTATTTCTTATTCATAATCCCAGTGCTTAGAATGGTGCTTGGCATAACAGGTGCTCAACAAACCAGTTGCAGCTTGGACACCTTAGCAGGTAAGTGGCATAATTTTTATTTTGTCATGAAGATATGTAAAAAAATTAATTTATTCAGTACTATTACACTGGAATGTGAAGGAAGTTGTTCAGAAACACATCTACTATACAACCTTGAAACCTTTAGTTTTTCATCTGTTTCTTCTACACAACCTACTTAGCTAGCTGATTGAAAACAGTGATAAGTTATAAAAGGTGTAGTGTGGCATCTAGGGCCTCTGGAATGAGGAAAAGCATTTTAAGGACCAAAGAATGTAACTTGAGGGTCAGTTCACAAGTCAGGAATGTTAGAAAAAAGGGAGACTGGTACTTGTAAAGGGGACGAGTTTTGCAGGAAAAGTAAAGAGATCACTTGAACCTACTATTCAATGCAGTGTTTTTTCTTGCAAGAAATTGTGCAAGTCACCACCCATCCTCAACACTAGCTGTAGCCTTGAGTACAAAGCATTAAGAACAGCACTGTGATAGACTTTTAGACGTGACTCCCACCTGTGCTACTAAACTAGCTGTCATCCTCTGGGAAATTTCTTTACTGTGTTTCGATTTTTCTTATCCTTAGAGTTGGTGAATTAATTAGCATAGTTAAAATATGCAGATCTGCTCAAAACAATGATTACAAAAATATTTGCTACTATTTTACTGTCATGTAAAAGCCTGATAATCTTTTAAAGATGAAAACATGGAAAGGACAACGATTAAATGTCATTGAGAACTTGAAGAGTGACAGTCATCTGCTAAAAGTATGACTGGAAAACCACAGAAGGTCAGTTATTTGGGTTACACATTTAAGATTATTGCCCATACAAACTAAAGCTCTCACACATTCCCACGCCAACAGAAGAACTGAGTGTAGATGTAGGCCTACCTCTAGATCTTCATCCTCATCGATCTTTTGTATATTTTGGTATGCAGTAGTGAAGACCTCTAAAGCTTTGCCATGAAATAACATTTCAATTGTGATAAACTCAGAAAATATGTTCTGAAAAACACAAAGATTGTAATTTTAAAGTCATTTAAATACAATTTAAGAGTTTACCATAGAACCATAGAGTTTTATATTCACTAAGACATTATATAGTCTTATTATTTTATGCAGGACAAACCATAACTGAAATATGTGAAGACTTTTTATAGCAAAAAATTTACATTGTGTGTAAAGTATTGCCCTAAACATTATTCTTTACTTTTTTAAAAAATTCTTTTTACATGATAATTGACATTTGGATGAAAAAAAGATGACTATATACTCCAATACTATATCCTCTATATTCATGTTAAAATTTTGAAGCATTTTTTTTAATTTTTTTTCATTTTACATACTAACCCCAGTTCCCCCTCCCTCTCCTCCTGCTCTCCTACCTCTTCCCTTCCCACCCCCATCCACTCTTCAGAGGGGGTAAGGACTCCCTTGGGGAGTCAACAAAGTCTGGCATACCAAGATGAAGCAGGACTAAGCCCTTCCCCTTGTATCAAGGTTGAGCAAGGTATCCCTCCATAGGAAATGGGCTCCAAAAAGCAAGTAATGCACCTGGGTAAGTCCTGGTCCCACTGCCAGGGGCATCCCAATAGATCAAGCCACATAACTGTCATCCACATTCAGAGGACCTAGTTGGTTCCCATGCAGGTTCCGCAGCTGTCAGTCCAGAGTCCATGTGCTCCCACTAGCTCAGGTCAGCTGTCTGTGTTTTTCCCCATCATGATCTTGACCCCCTCCTGTTCATATGATCCCTCCTCCCTCTCTTCAGCTGTAATCCAGGAGCTCAGCCCAGTGCTTGGCTGTAGTTCCCTGCATCTGTTGAAGCATATTTTTTAAAACTATAGAAGATTGGCTTCTTTTTGAGATAAGACATAAAACTATGGCCAACAATAACTGTTACTCTATGATATTGGCCATGGAAGGCTATGTTGTACTTGATCAGTGAACAGCACTATGTTTAGATACCACTTGGAATTTCATACTGAGCATCTACAGAGATACACAGGGATACCTTACAAGCTTGGATGGCTTCTGACTAGGAATTAATTCCTTAATTGTCAGTTTCCCTAAGTTGGGGTTAAAAAAAAACAAAACAAAAAAACCAACAACAACAACAAAAAAACCAGAAGAATGATGACATTGTTCTACTGTCTAAGAGCAGGGTCACATCAATAAGACTCCAGAAAAATGAAACATTTTAAACAAAAAGAATGAAATTTAACCCCGAGTTCAGACAATGTAAAAATAAGTGCATCACAGACTTTACATGAATGAAAATGACAAAATTTAGAGGAAAGCTGAGAGAAATCACCACCCAATTTGGCAATGGATTCTTAGCTGAGACACTAAACCACAAGCAATAGAAGAAACTGAATAGGTAATACTAAAATTAATGTGTGTTCGTATAATACCATCAAAAAAGCAATTTAGTAAGCAACTTGTGTCTAGAATATGAAAAAAAAAAAAAACCCTTTACAACCCAATAGTAAAGATAACCCAATTGAAATATGAACAAAGACCTAAATGGGCATTTCTCCAAGTAGGTAGCAGTGTACACCTTTAACCCAGCACTTGGGAGGCAGAGGGATTTCTGTGAGTTTGAGGCCAGCCTGATCTACAGAGCGAGTTCTAATACAGTCAGAGCTACACAGAGAAATCCTGTCTCCAAAACAAAACAAGTTACTGAGGATTATCAAAACCACAGTGAGATGCTACTTTACACACACCAGTATGGCTACAATAACGTGTAATCAATGAGGAGGCCTTGGCACTCTATGGGGCCCCTGGTGGTGGTGGATCAGTATTTTTCCCTAGTGTAAGAAGGGTCTTGAGAGCCCATGTCAT